GGGGTGGGTGGGTAGGTAGGTAGGTAGGTAGGTAGTCGTTGGTTGGTTTTTTAGTTATGATACGTAGGTAGGTAGAAGGGCGAGTTTTTACTGCGCCGCTTTGGTGGTGCGCCAGGTTGAGATTTTTTTTTTTTTTTTTTACAAATCAGATTCGAGGTGAGCGACGATTGGTTGTGGTGATTGCTGTACTGTTTTCAGGTTCTCTCTTCTTTTCCCTTCGCACTTTTTCTTTTGGTGTTTTGATCTTTTCTTGGATTTTTGGCTGGTCTTTTGAAATCTTGAAATCAAAGGGAAGATGGAATGTTGATAAGGAGGAGGGTGAGAAAGTTAGATTGGGGTTCTGCTTTTGGAATCACGATGGAGGGCGAGTCGACTTGAGTGCGGTGATAGGGGAGTTTTTTCTCCTCTGGCTTGAGAGAATTTGCTCCAGCCGCATTACTAGGAAAGATACCAGTACGCGAAGAAGGAGAAGAGGAAAGTGCAGGATCCTTCGATCAGGAAGAGGTACCGCGAGCCGTCAAGGCTGGTATTCTTGATCTGAAAGACGCCGAATGCGAGGAGACCGGTAAATGCATTGGCGATGTTGCTAGCGGCGTAGAACATTGCCAGACGACGAGCCAATTCACCTCGGCGGTAAAAAGCGGTCGGGCAATAGATCACCAGAGGGAAGAATGCCGCTCCGGACATTCCTGGTCTGGGCCAGCTTTCGATGTAGGGCTTGGGTGACTCGAGGCCTTTCCAATCTTCCGAGACTCGTTGGGCCTTGGACACGACCGCATATGGGTTGGGAGAGATCCATACCCAGGAACCAGCGCAAAGCCATCATCCCGCCAAAGTTCCGAGCAGCAGCCCCGAGAATGGTGAAGGATCCGAAACACAGCATTAGGACAGGCAGCACTCTTGCTGGTCCAAACTTCTTTCCCAGCATTACCTGACCACGAATCAGAGCTAGCTAGCCAAAGTAACCACGCATCTTTGTACAGGTAACTCACGATAGGCGGAGCGAAGAGCACGTATGGCACAAAGAAAACAACCAATGTGATGTTGTACTGGTTCGTCTTGAAGTGCAAGTCATCTTCAATCCCATCCGTCTTCGCATTTCTTAGATTTCCCCTGTCCAAGGCATTGAAGAGGTACATGATGGCTAGGACCGGCATGAGCCTGTAGTCGAACTTGCGACATAGCGCTCTATGCCACACCAGGACCGGGAGTCAGTAGTTGCTTGGTGAAGAAAGTATTAAGAGTAGTGTGAATACTCCGAGGTAGGGACATTTTGATTCCCCAGTCACGTACCTTTCGGCATGATGCTGGATGATAGCTGCCTTTGCAGTATTGGTTGCGACTCCTGAGAGAGGCTCGACTGGCTCGTTCCCGTCGAATGGGGTCTTGACATTTAGGCCAGACAGAGAACCTTCTTTCGTATAGACATCTTGAATGAAGCGCGCAGCAAGGAAGTACTGATGAAGATCAAGCAGGAGCAAAGTTGAGGGTGATACGAATGCTGTGATACGAAATCCATAAGGGAGCACCGGTATACACATATATATATAGGAAAGAGAGTGGGGGAGGGGAAAAATTGTGATATCAACACTCTTCCTTACCAAAGAACAGGAAAAGGAGGAGGAGAATGCAGCACACCAAGGAATGATGGGCGCTCTCGGCCAGCATCACAGCTTTATCGCAGGAGGATTTTCTGACAGCCGTCTTGGATTCTCGGTATGCTGCATGTTAATGCTTGACCGTCTGAAGCGGATCTTTGACGACGGCATCGGTGTAACTTGTACCTTGAATACCTTGAATATGCATGATAAGGTCGAAGGCAGAAGAAGCAGAAGGCACCGGGCACCGGGCACCGGGCGCCGCCATTGGTTCCCGAACCGAACAGGAAGCGAGCAAAGGACATTCCAAGAACTTCGGCTGCCACAGCATATTTCAGCACAGCCACCGGGAGTCAGGTGACAATAAACCCTAGCCATCCGTTTCTGGACCAAGCAGGCCTGAGGCTATATCCATTCTCAAGAGGTGTCATGACGTCATCCAGAAAGGCGTGTCTCCCTCGTGGACATGGATAGGTAGGTAGGCTTTCTTTCAGGCGGTTATTTAGACTGTACCATACCGGTATACAGTATCATAAGTATATACTTGTATCTAATACAACTCTATATATAGTATATTTAATACTGCCCACGCGACGTCGTGTGATTTCTCTCATTAATCTTCTCCTTTCTCAGGCCCATCCTATCAAGAGAACATTCCTTTCCTAGTTCGCAATACTTCTACTACGGAGTGTAGCTAGTATCAGTACCCCTACCCGTACTATGGAGACGGCGCGAAAGTGTCTCCGTCCCAGATGACGCAGCCATTCCCCGTGATGCGGGGCTGGGCTGCCAAAAGTAGCGCAGATTAGACCGAGTCAGCGATTCAGAGAAGGGTCAAAGTCGTCAATCAGTCAGTCGGTCAGTCAGTCAGTCAGTCAGTCAGCCAGTCAATTAGTCAGTCAGTCAGTCGGTCAGTCAGTCAGTCAGTCAGTCAGTATGGTAAAAGTGGTACAATAATAAGTACTGCAGTATCCTTTCCTTTTCTCCTGTTTTCTTTTCTTTTGTCTTCTCTTTTTTTTTCTCTTTTCTTCTCTTCTCTTCTCTTCTCTTCTTTTCTTTTCCTTTCTTTTCTTTTCCACAAAATCATCCCAGGATAGAAAGAGAAGGACATGGAGAAATGCCAGGTATACAGAGTAAGGATTCCATGTTGAGGATGGTTGATTATTGGCCGGACATAGTAGTAGCTCAGGTAGTAGGAATTAATTAATTTACCGAGGACCCCTGGTACTAGTAAGAGGATCTAGTTGTATTACCTATCCTTTTAGTTCCTTGTAGGTACGGAGCCTCCTTTGCAACAAGATACCTTTCCATACCTACCTTACAAGTACCGGTACCTAGAGCTTCGTAAGTCCCTACTGACTGTAAGTGGCGTAGTCAGCCCAGCCCTACCTAGGTTTGAGCAGCGTCGTCATCGACTGATCCCATAATAAGAAGGAACCAATACCTCCGTTACACTGCTTTTCCCTTTGCTTCTTCCCCCTCAACTATTCTCCCTCCCGACTTATTCTCCCTCCCGAGTCAACCTCTCTCCCGAATCAAACCTCCCTCCCAACTTATTCTGCGACTGCAGATGCGAAACTCGCCGCCTCGCCACATCCACATCCACATCCACATCGACGAACTTCGGACTGTCTGCAGTTACACGTCCCATACATACCACCTTACTCCTACCATCACAATGGATTCTCCGTCGCAAAGTTGTTAATCCTCGCCGTCATCCCCGATCAACGCTCGCCCCGCCGGAGGAAGGAAAGAAGTAGAGCCACGAACCCGCGAACCACCTGGACAAGTAACCGAAAATACTCGAAACTTGAAGCTCGAACCTCGAAACTCGAAACTCGAAACCCGAAACCCGAACCCCGAACCTCGAACCTCGAACCTTGAACCTCGAACCTCGAACCTCGAACCTCGAACTCGAAACTCGAACCTCGAACCTCGAACCCTGCCCAAAATGGTCCTTTCGAATCGCCCCCATCCGCGCCCAAGCCAGTCTCATACAACGCGGCCATCCTCCAAACCTTCGTCGACGACGACGCCGTCCAGTTCGGTCCCTCGAATGGCTGCCTCAGTCGGACAGGCATATCCTCCAAATGCTGCGCCCTTTCGATCTCCTGGCGTACTTTTACATAATGACGTGCGCACACCGAGTCCTAACTACTTCGGGCTCGTTGTAGACCCCGCCAATAACCCTAGTGACTCTGCCGTGGGCCCTAAGGACAACTGGGGAACTCCTACGTACGTCACACTCACTTTCGAAGAATTATCTTCTACGTCTATGATCTGACGAGATGTTCTCCGGCAATACTCCCATCCCAATCCTTTGCTTCACCCCCGAAACTCGAGATTCGCGAAACTGTACTAAACCTCAATGAACAGGTCCAGCATCCACTCTTTCGGGCGACCGACACCTCAGCATTTACCTCTAGATGCGAACCAAGAATTTGCGGCATTCAGGAAACAAGCAGAAGGAGGCAGTGGATTTAGCCTAGGGCATGGAAACCTCTCACATTTCGCATCCACGCCGAGCGCTCATGTGCGGCCGAAACCAGATCGAAAGCCAACATCACCAGAGACCCAAGAGACAACATTTTCAAAGTCGAAACCACAAGCTCGGCAGGGTACCGCCGACAGGATGAATACGGACGCAGGACAGACCTTGAATGCGCCGTCATTCTTTGATATCGACATACCCCGACATCAATCCCCAGTACCAATGAGCGAGGCAGGTCCGTCCTTGGAACGGCATCAGCTGTCCAATCTGGATGATAGACATCCTAGACTTTCACTACCACAGAACAAGACCGATCCTCCGTCTCCACACCTGAGACAAGCCCAGAAATTCCAGCAATACCGCGCAGATACAGTCCCTTTGTCCCTTGAGGATGGACCTGCCATGATCTCTTCTGCACAACTAAAGGACATGATGACAGCTCTAGGGACACAAGTCCTATTGCTGGATATCCGTGTCAACACGCAATTTTCAAAATCACGGATAGATGGGGCTTTGAACTTGAACATACCTTCTATCATGCTAAAGAGGCCGTCTTTTGATATACAGAAATTGCAAGACACGTTCAAAGACAATGCTGAGAAGGCTCGTTTCAATCAATGGAACTCCGCAAAATCCATTGTGGTTTACGATGCTTACGCTTCGGAGAAAAAGGATGCATCATCAGCGATAAATACTCTCAAGAAGTTTTCAGCTGAGGGCTGGAGAGGGAACTCGTATATCGTCCGAGGAGGGTTCTCCGATTTCTCCAAAAATTTCCCCCAATTGATCGATAGTACGCCAAGTCATCATGAAACGCAGCCATCAAACATAAGCCTCTCTCTAGGGACTTCAGGGCCAGATGCAATGGCTGTAGCTGGCGGGTGTGCCATGCCCGCATCGAAGAACGCGGCAAATCCATTCTTCAGCAACATTCGTCAGAACGAGGACCTGAGAGCTGGTGTCGGGTTGCAGGATGTCAAGGTGCCAGCTGAGCTAGGTCAAGAATTTCTTCCCAAATGGCTTCTCAATACTTGTGCAAAGGAAGACCATGGAAAGCAGGTCTCGGAGAAGTTTCTGCGTATTGAGCTTGCGGAGCAGTCAAGGATGACCAAAGCCCTTAACTCGGGCGTTTCCTATGGGACGCCTTCGCTGGATTCCAAGCATGTCCAGATTGCAGGGATTGAGAAGGGTAGCAAGAATAGGTACCACAACATCTGGCCATTCGAGCACACTCGTGTCAAGCTCCAAGGTCGTCCTCAAGGTGCCTGCGACTACGTGAACGCGAGTCATATCAAATCTTCGCGGAGCAATAAACAATATATTGCTTCGCAGGGCCCTTTGCCTGCTACTTTCGAGGTAAACGATCCCATGTTTCTCTCACGGTCCGACAGTGACTAACTCTGTTTAAGGACTTTTGGAGTGTAATTTGGGACCAAGATGTTCGAGTCATTGTGATGCTCACAGCAGAAAAAGAACGCGGTCTACTAAAGTGCCATACTTATTGGGCAGGAAGAGAGTTCGGCCCATTGAAACTCAAGCTTGTGACGGAAGTGAAAAGATCCATAGACCCCAAGATGCACCGCGTTTCAAAAGTCCCCCAGGCATCCGGCCGGCCCAGAGCAGCTACCAACACTGAAAAGGCGCCGCCGTCTCCCACAACTGAGACTCCTCACGTCATTGTGCGGACGTTCATGTTGGCACACACCGCTCATCCGTTCTCGCCGCAACGGGAGATCACTCAGATCCATTGGTCAGATTGGCCAGATTTCGGAGCTCCTGCCAGCCCGGCCCAGGTTCTAGGCCTGGTTGAGCTAAGCAACATGTATCAGAGGAAACACATTGCCCCAACAAAGTCCTCCCGCTCCGATGATCCTGAATCGGATGAAGCCTCGAGACCAATGCTTGTCCACTGCAGTGCAGGATGTGGACGAACTGGCACTTTTTGTACTATTGACACAGTCATTGATATGCTGAAGCGTCAACGGAAAGAGGCCAGAAGTGGTACCACTCCTATGGAAACCGGCTACTCCAGCTCGAAAGGAGTCAGCGGCGATTGGATTTTCGATCAAGATCTCGATCTGGTCGAGAAGACGGTAGTTGATTTTCGAAGCCAGAGGTTAAGTATGGTGCAAAGTCTGTCACAGTATGTACTGTGCTACGAGACGGTATTGGAATGGATTTCACAGCAGAAGTCTGGCAGCCGGACAGATGGGGACCGGAATGGAAGCGGCCGTGGGGTGGACAGAGAAAAGCCATGATCGGGGCCAAGAGGATTGAGGAATATACATACATACATGTCGTGTGATGGAGTGTGGAGGACAAAGGAATAAGGGAAAAGGATACAGGGTTTCTTCTCAAATGAAACACCATTGGCGGTATGGGCCGAACACCGCAGCTAACACGCAAGCGATGGAGAGGCACGATATGGACCGGCCCACGACGATGAACTTTCGGAGATTGGCAGGTTGAAAAGGCTGCATTGGGCTCTGGTGCTGGGCATACATATACGGAGTATGCATTGTTGCATGGCGATGGAGTCTGGGGTCTGTATTTTTGTATTGGATAGTTTGGCGTGTGGTCAGCGGCTATGCGATGGTGATAGGGCGGCAGAGAGACGGGGAGGTCGAGGACGAGCAATAAGTTGCGATAAGTGATAAGACGACGTAGAAATGGAAAAATTGAAGTCGCCCCTAGATGAATTGATTTATCCTAAGCTAAAAGCGACGTGAAAAAAAAAGAAGGCTGAGACATTTATCGTCTCGTTGGTAAATATATTCCGCTGCCGCTAGGGCACGAGGATTTATATTCCATTCAATTTCCCACTCTGTGAAGTATGGTCTTTCTCGCAAAGATATGCCATTTACTTCTTGGACCTCCTTTAAAAAGGATTGTTGACTTTCTCGCGCTTTCGGGCCCTGGATTCGCGCTTACCTAGCTTAAGCTTGCGAGCTTGGCAAACGGACCGGGGAGCATCCTTTCCAACGCGCTTCCTGCTGCCTTAGAAAACCATCCCCGAAAATAAAATAAAACCGCGACTTTTTATTCCCTCTTCTCAACCACGCCCACCCCTCCCTCTTTGCGTAACGGCACGCTCGACGCCGCGTTGATACACGTGTGCTTTCCATCTCTCGAATTTCCATTTCCCTCACTTCGTTTTACGTTACGGCGCCGCGCCGCGCCGCGCTGCGCTTTCGACCATGTCGTCGCTCTTTGGTAACCTGAATAACAACACCAAATCCGACTATGGCGGGCTGTTTGGAGATCCGAAGCCTGCGGCGGGTGGCGGCAGTGGTGGTGGTGGGTTGTTTGGTGGGCTAGGTCTGGGTGGTGTAAGTACGACGGGAGGTACGACGGGTAATGCTGGGGGAGGAGGGCTGTTTGGAGGTTTGGCTGGCAGCACGCAACCGACGGGTAATGCTGGGGGAAGAGGGATGTTTGGAGGTCTGGGTGGCAGCATACAGCCGACGAGTAATGCTGGGGGAGGAGGGCTATTCGGAGGTCTTGTAGGAGCAACAGGAGGAACTACACAACCAACAGGAGGAAGCGTGTTTGGAGGATTGGGCACAAGCACGCAGCAGAATAATGCCAGCAACATGTTTAGCTCAGGCCTAGGAGCGACATCACAGTCTCAAGGAGCTGCTGGCCTTGCTGGTTCTACAGCAGGTCCCCAACAATCGCAGCAGAATGGTCAGAACAACGCCTATTTCGATGCTATACTGGAGCGCAGCCGCAAGAGAGCACACGCCGAAGCTATCTCGGAGGATCTCCCGCAACTCCAACTCGGTCTGGGGGATATCCGCCAGCGTATCAAGCGGTTAGGTGCTGAGAATGCCGATCTCGCGGATGGCAGAGCTCACTACCTGCTCGCAGCTTCAGGCGTTGACCCAGGGGCCACAGTCCGCGACTTCAACCTCTTCACCGTAGCGAACACGAAGACCGAGCGGCCTACCGTACCCGACTTCGAGGATGATACCGATGTGGAGTCGTATCTGGCGAACTTGCAGACGCAGACGACGTTGAACATGATTTCAGATGGCATCTCACGGTCGATCCGCGATTTCGATGCGTACCTGGATGAAAATGTGACGGTGGAGTGGGAATCGCAGCAGAAGAGGATATACCAGCATTTTGGGATCAAGCCGAAGGAGAATGCCGGTTACGGAGGACGAGGAAGCTTCATGGCAGCCCCCGCTAGCCCGCCTGGAGGATTCGGAAGATCGAGACGAAGCAAAGCCGCGGGTCTCGCTGCATCCCGGGCTGATAATGGTGGTGGAAGCACATTTGGACGCTCGAGCATGCAGAAGTCGGTTATTGGAAATGCTGGTCCCGTTGGTACTGGCCACCAGCCTCTGTTTGCGGATGTGGAAAAGCAGATGGAGGCAAATGGTGTCAACATGTCTGGCCCTCACGATCGCTTTCAGCGAGACAAACAGAACAAATTCGCTGAGAAGGTGCAACTTTTGAATCTCGCCAGACTCAACAAATACCCGTTCGCAATTTCGAAGGAGTTTGGAGATGTTGTAAGGATGGCTGGTGACCAGCATGGACCTGATTTGGTGAAGGCATACAGAGCTCTGAGCGCTATTGTGGGAGAAGATGCGGATGCTAAGGGATTTTCAGAGAATAGGACGGCGAGGGAGAGACAGTACGCCTCGGCCTACCTTAGCGATACTTCTGATGCAGCTACTGTCAACTTCCGCCGAAGAATACTCCAAGGGGGTGCTCGATGTTTGGAAAGATTAGCGTTCGAAAAGATGGAAGAACAAGTTGCCAAAAACCCACGAGATGCCAATCTTGGCGGCATTCCAAACACCATCAACAAGATTAAAGCTTATGTTCGTTTACAAGCTATCAAGAAGAACCTTGCTGGCGACAATGCCGACTTACAAATACTTGGCGAGGACTATGTCTGGGCTCTTCTCTTCTTTCTGTTGAGATCGGGTCACGTTGCCGAGGCGGATGAATATGTTAGAACCAACTCCATTGCATTCAGAGCCATCGACCGCAACTTTGCTGCTTATATGCACGCTTATGCGACGAATGAAGATAGGAGACTCGGTGATGATCTCCAGGTTCGAATCAACGCCGAATTCAACCAGCGCCTTCGAATTGCGCCCGAGAACTCTATCGATCCGTACAGGATGGCTTGTTACAAGATTATTGGTCGTTGTGATCTCAGACACCGAGCTTTGGACGGACTTAAGCAAGATATTGAAGACTTCGCCTGGATTCAGCTGGTTCTAGCACGTGAGATCAGCCGCTCCGACTCCATGTCGAGTGACGTCTACGACCTCAACGCTGCCCAGGATACCATACGAGAGATTGGGAACCGGTTCTTCTCCAAGGCCGGTGGTGCTGAGATTGGGAGCTCCTTTGGAGCCTTCGTCTTCCTGCAAGTCTCGCTTGGCATGTTTGAGGAAGCCGTTCATTACCTGTATACTCATTCCTACGTGGATGGTGTGCACCTTGCCATTGCCCTGGACTTCTACGGCCTCCTCAGAGTATCAGACCCCAGTACCGCGGGCGAGGATCTCTTGAGCAGGACCACCAGAAATCAACCCCAGATCAACTTTGGTAGAGCAGTTGGTCTTTACACACGCGACTTCAGAGCTGCCAATGTCTCGGCCGCTGTTGACTACCTTGTTCTTATCTGCCTCAACCAAGACTTACCTGGTCAAGCAGGAGCTCATCAAGTCATGATCTGCCATGAGGGACTGCGTGAACTCGCTCTCGAGAGTAGAGAGTTTGCACTTCTTCTAGGAGACATGCGTTCTGATGGACAACGCATTAATGGTCTCATCGAGGACCGTGTTGGCTTGATAGGTCTGGAGGAGGCCGGTGACTTCATGCGAACAATCACGATGCAGGCGGCAAGCGTTGCCGACGATAACGGGCGTACGACTGACGCTGTGCTGCTGTACCATCTGGCAACAGAGTACGACAATGTTATTGTTACGATCAACCGAGCTCTCAGCGAAGCTATCTCCACCCCTCTTGGTCAGGAACCATTGAAGTTGCAGACACTGAAGGCTCGCTCTGTCACGAATGCTAGGAACATGCAAGGCACCGAGTCTAATCTTACCTCTATCGATGATCCATTCGTCCTGGCGGAGAAGATGTCGGATATCTATGGCCACCAAATGTACAGGATGAAGATCAAGGCTGTCAACCAGCAGGCTTGCAGCTCTTTGCAGGTAATGTACCAAGCCAAGGACATGGTCGAGAATGGGAGGTGGCCCGAGGCGCTTGATGTAAGTTTATCTTGCCTTCCCCCATGAAAAAATTATGCTGATGAGTTCACAGCTTATGAAGAGCCTCGCAATCCTCCCTCTGGAAGCCAGAGGCGATGCGACAACCATCCGCAGCTGCGCCACCAAGTTCACCGCGCTCCCTCAACCCGTTGCTCAAAATGTGCCCAATCTGCTGATGTGGTCGATTATGTGCTGCAACAACCAACGCTCTCTCCTGCTCAACAGCCAGTTTGGCGGTAATGAGGGCACGAGACAGGCGATGATAGATGAGCTGAAGCAGATGAATATGGATTTGACGACTTATACGAGTCAATTGAGGTATAGATTTCCGGCGCATATCCATGAGGCTCTGGCGAGAGCGCAATCGGACATGTGAGCGGGATCTGGTGGGGAGGATATGTTGCCAGGTGGTGGTTGGGACACGTGGGTTGTGGATGAGAGAGGGACGTTGCCTCGACCCTCACCGCGAGGTCTTGGCTAGACATTGGTTAGGATAAAAGTTTATGGGTATCCGAGGACCCCGCAGATGTATGTACTTCTATCATAAAATGCAGAGACGGATGAGAGATATGAGATGTGAGATGTGGTGGTCGTTTTCCTACGGGGCTACCTAGGACTGACCGCACCTGGGCACTTTCTTATTAAGCGCCGACCGTCGATTTCTGTCTGCTTGACTCTCGGATGCTTCCCTATGACGAATGAACCTAAAGACCCATGTTCACACAGTCTATCTATCATGCTTTTCGATCATCTCCGGAACTCTGAATCGATATCACGCCCAAGAGGTCCTCCCAAGACCAGACAAGCGAATCATGGGGTGGAAGAGGTGTTTGTTTATCGAAGAAGAAGAGCGAAGCTCAGCTGAGTACTCCTAAATACAGCTACTACTACATACACCTGGCGCTAGTCCGAATCACGCCCTCCAATATGCCTTTTTACCTTTTTATACAGTACCGATCCTTGTCCGGGTGATATATCGCAGGGATTTAGCAAGCCAGCAATAGGTACTCTCTTGTACTCGGTAGGGTTTCGATAAAGTGAGCCACATTCCCAGGTGCCACTAGTTTGGAGTAATATACCTCTCCCAATATACTTCTACGACTACGTACTACGTACTACTATAACACAACTACCAGCCGCCATTGGCAATCCGTCCCGACTCTCTGTCTGACTCTTGAGTGAATCTCTGCGATCGGCTTGTTTGTGCAAATAGAGACAGCAGACGATCCTCCGCGTGTTTGGCCTGGTCGCGACCTGACTCGTTCGACCCTCCGAGGCCTAGCCAAGCCAACCAGCCAGCCAGCCTTCCTCGAGATCCTCCTCAACCCATCAATCCTCCAATCCCTTACACACTCGTCCCGTCCCCTTCCACCCAGCCGCTGTCCCAGGATTTTTGAGCGCTGACGGCTCCATGACAACAGCCGCACCGGCTGCACAACACTCGATACGAACCTACCTGACCGACGTGACGTTGTACTGTACGCCGTCCGGCGTCGCCCAGGGAAATCCCACTCCGCCGGTTGGGATACCTGTACCCGTACCCGTACCCATGCAATAAGACCCGCGCAGACGGGAGCACGCAGTAATGCCAGCGGGCGAGGGGGGAGGAGTGACTCCGCTGCTGCTGCAGCAGCCACAGAGCAGGCAGGACTTCAGTGAAGAGGGCGGCGACGCGCCTTCGCCCGCCGACCCGTCCACCTCGGATCAGAACAAGAAGCGCAAGACTGCGGGGAGCAGCTCACGCGGCGTTGCGAACCTGACGCCGGACCAGCTCGCGAAGAAGAGGGCGAATGACCGGGAGGCCCAGAGGGCCATTAGGGAGCGGACCAAGAACCAGATTGAGAGTCTGGAACAGAAGATCAGGGAGTTGACAAGCCAGCAGCCGTATCAGGAGCTGCAGAATATTCTACGGCAGAAGGAGCTGGTGGAGGCTGAGAATGCGGAGATCAAGAAGAGGCTGGCTTCGGTGCTGGCTCTAGTACAGCCTGTGCTGGGACAACATGGTTCGTCCCTTGTTGCCGTTTCGAAGACTACAACTGATTATCTTGCAGCTCTCGACGGACCTGCGATATACAACTCTCCTCATTACGTCCCGAATCGGCCGAGCTCCTCTTCAACCTTCAATACGACTACTCCGACTAGTTCAGCGTCCCCTGTGGTGAGCGCAGGTGTAAATCTGCAATATCAAGTTCCCAACACACCAATGGTTGTAGGTATGGGCAACAGCAACTACAACACACTATTGAATGCGCAAGCCCAGCTGTCGAGGCAGAAGCAAGAGATGTCACATAACTTGGAAATGGGGCCTGAGAGGCTAGGACTAGAGTTTCTGCTCGACGGTAGCCAGAAACCCAACAAGCTCTCGAATGGTATACACCATACACACGATCCAGCCCTCTACCAAAATCCTGCTTCTGCCCTCTCCAGAACCAACTCGTCAGGAAGCCACGGCAGCTACAACAACTCGAGTCCAACCCTCGAAGTGGCCGGCTACGCAGCACCTACACGCAACGGTCCTGCCACCTGCCCGCTGGACACCATCCTCCTCGGTTTTGTCGCCGACCGCCAGAGAGAAGCCGCCTCTGGCGTCGAGACCCCCCGTCTCGTCGGGCCTGCCTACCCATCCGTCTCGTCCCTCCTCAATCCCGACAAAGCAGAAACATCGCATCCGCTCTCCAAGGTTTTCATCGACATACTAGCCACCTTCCCGGCCATCAACACGCTACCAGAGAAAGTGGCCGTTCTCTACATCATGTTCCTCGTCATGCGCTGGCAAATCTCGCCCACGCAAGAGAACTACGACCGCCTCCCCGAGTGGGTCACCCCGCGGCCGTCACAGATCTTCACAGTGCACCCAGCGTGGATCGACCACTGCCCGTGGCCGAAAATGAGGGATAGACTGGTAAGGGATTATAACCCTCGGGAGTATCTGTTTGATAACTTCTTCGTCCCGTATACTTCGACGCTGAGTCTGAACTGGCCATACGAGCCGACGGCGACTCTGCTGATGGAGGGTGACGACGTGGTCATCAACCCAGTGTTCGAGTGCCACTTGAGACGGCTGGATAACTGGAGCTTGGGCCCTGCCTTTGCCAAGGCGTTTCCGGGGTTGCAAGACACCTACCGGCTGAAGGTTGACGGTGATCGCCGATAACCACCCCCCTCATCTCACCTGAAATCTTCTGAAGGCTTGTTCTCCACCTTTTCTTTTCGATCAGAGCAGCCAGAAGGTGAGAAATGGTGTACAAGGAGATGTCTTTTTTTTTTTTTTGTATTACATAATCGTCCGATATTTCTGGATTTCTTGCAAGAACGGCGTTTCGAGGGAAGGGCTATCGCTGGGCTGGGTGGGACATTTGTTCACGCAAAGAAATGGATTTGGAAGAGGCATGCATGGCGCCCGTTGCTCTTTTGTCATGTGATCTTGATTTCGCACAATACAGACAGGGCCGCAAGGCGTTTATCAGATGGATAATAGGCTTTCAGAAGCCCGGTTGGGATAGCTTATTGTACATTGGGAGGTGGGCTAGGAACTGTCTTTGGCTTGCCCTTCGTTTGGGCATGCTGATTTACCGGTACTATACAGATACAGTGCTCACTAGGAAGGGATCTGGGTCCAACGTTTACGGAGTAATGAATGAATTGACCGACACACGCGGGCTTGGAGCCAGCCCCATCGAGAGCCCCATCGAGACCTCCATCGAGACCATCCGGGGCGAGATGACTCAGAACGTGCAGGCAAGACAGCATGAGCACAGCATGCATGGGCTTTGTTGGGCTAGGGCGCGAAAGTGTGTTTGCTGTGTTGATAACTAATGCGCGTACCTACCACTTGGGATAATTAGGCGAGGGGGGAAAAGGGGAATAAATGGGGGGCTCCGATTGGGGTTGGGGATTGGGATTGGGATTGGGGTTCGGATTGGGATTGGGATTGGGAAAGGCGAGAACCAGGCTGGGCTGGGCTGGGCTGGGCTGGTGCGACTTGGGGGACAGACAAGCAATGTGTCCGGTCAGGATCAAGGGATCTCAACTGCACTCGTACCCGTACTAAGGACCACTCTGGCCTAGTCTTGATAAGAAATAAGATTTTCGCTCTGCCCCTTTTTTCCTCTTTCTTCTTTTCTTCTTCTCTTCTCTCTTCTTGATTAAGCCCTGTCGGCCCTTTTTTTTTCTTACGTATGTAGGGCCCGAAAATTCTAACTTTAAGATGGGATCCTCTTGGGGGGGGGGGG